AATGGGGTGCTAGCTGATTGAGGGAATTAACTCTACGGGACGTGAGGCGACTGCAATATATTTGGATAGCGCTATAGATTGACGCATATTAAGACAGATAATGCAGGACTGAACACTAAGCTGATTCAGTCATCCATGTAATCTAGTTCCAAGTGCTTAGTTGCCGTCTAATGCAGGCGTGAATTCGCATCCAACAAGCCGAAAAGCGCGGCCCATGTTACCGCTCGTGCGGCGTTTGTGAGGATAGGCCGGAGCACCTCCTGACGCTGGCACGGGCAGATATAAGCGGGTCTTGCGTTAGGAGCCGCCAAACACGTCCAATGCCGAGCGGGTGAAGCCAAGCAAACGGAGGGCCTTGATCGGATGGAACGGACGTGGTGGTTGTCCGCGTGGCACGTGGCGTGACCATGTGCCACGCGCGGTGGGGGGCGCTATAAAAACAGGCTGCGCGAGGCTGTCTCGAGGAACTGCGGCTCCCTGGGCTCCAGACGCGACAGTGGCTTGTAAACCTTGTTCGTGGCGTAGTGAACTAAGATTAAAAGCAACATTGCACATCATGGTATATAATTCTCTGATTGGCTTCTCTTCTCGTATGTATTGGCGAAACATAACATAGGCAAACAGCACATAGTTCAAGTAACGTTATAATTCAACGTTACCTTATGTCCAATGCTTTATTAAATGAATTGTAATTAGTTTGTCTTGAAAATTATATTTTTTATTTTGAAAAAGGGGGCACTCAGCATCAGTTCGACCATGAAACAGTAGGTCTACATTAATCATTATACTGCACTTTGATAAGCGCGTGGAGTGCTTCGCCAGAGTTTTCCTATAATGTACACTGTAGCATAGCGTCACATGATGATGGTGCATGCTAGACTATCTGCCGAATAAAATGGTATTTGTTAAAAATTGTACAGCGATATTCGTGCGCGTAGATTGATACGAAATTTGTCACGCGATGTTTAGTAAGCAGGAGGAGCGCAGGCTGACTGGAACGTAAAACAATAAAATTAAAATTCACGCAATAGACGGCGTGAGTTGCCTTTGTAAGTATAATATAAGTATAAGTATATAAGTTATGGCCAATTTCCAGCCATTTCCTTCTAAAATGAATGCGATCAGTAACTACATTGAAACTATACTTTAGAATTTACAGAAGAAAAACTCAGGCAATAGTTTGAAATGAGATATCACTATCCCTAATACCTACTTGATAAAGCCGCTGCTATTTCCCGATTTTTCAGTTTACATTAGTGTAGCCAGACTCATGCCTATGCACAATATCTGCTCAAGAATGTAGCGTCTATTGAAGGCAGACGGAAAATACAATCCGCCTGGTGCACTCTACAACCCGCTGAGGCGCGGCAGAGATGATTAGAATATTATACCCTACGCATCGTAAATACCAAAATATAGATCAATAACAGATACGTGTATTTACACTGGAGAAGTTGCGTTACATGTGCAGTCTTTATGACGTTTCGTATGAAACGTCATATTTATCTTCAGCAATCTTGATCGTTTGTCGTAAACCAATTCGCCGTCACGTGTCGAATAGAAACGGCACGTGATTGTTCCAAGGGGGCGGCAATTATTCTCGTCACGTGGTAATATATTATGTGCAATACGCCAATACTATATGCGTACTTGTTTACTTTCGGAGATTTCTTAACATTGCATGCCTGGAATTTACCATAGAATACCTACAAATCTAACGGAGCAAAAATTTAACTATCTCTTCCAACGTGATTCCGTGGCGTGCGTAGGTTGCTGCGGTGGCGCGGGCGTGTGTGCTGTGTGTGTGCGTGCGCGTGTGTGGCGTTCGTGTGTGTCGGAATACAATGCTATGCGCAAAAGCACTCGGCTTGCGTGATTTTAATTTGAACAAATCAATGCAACCTGTGTACTGCGATGAAGAATCCTGGAAACTTGTGAAATGTTCGACGGCCGACATTATTCCTGGATGTTGCTCGACGACGATGACGGGCGACGACGACGATGACGATGGCGATGACGAATACGAGCAAGACGGCGGGCCGCAACGGAAGCCTGATCTGTTGTTTACGGCGTGCTTCTGTTCATCGTGGGTGAAGAATAGCGGGACAGGTAGCTGCATTACGGCAGCCAATCGACAAACACAGGTGAGTAACAGTATCAGCGTGAGTATCGTATCACAGGTATACCATGTGAATTACGACATGTCTTTGTCATCGTGACATTCGTTGCATTAATTTTTTCCACTTTTTTTCTTAAATGCTCAAAAATCGCAACTATTCGCTCTTTTGCGGTACACATCTTTTATTGAGAGAACAAAATGAAAAAATTCAGCTAACGAATAAACTGCTAAAAAAGATAAATGTAATAAGTTTATGATGTGAATTAGTCAATTTACATGTTGTGTGGGCAAGAAAGCCCATAAAACATTGCCGTTAAGTTGTCAATATAAATATAGTACAAGCCAATATTAGTATATACATATATTATATATATATATTATATATATACGTGTGTGTTGTGTGTTTTGTGTTTGGGTGTGCGTGCGTGCGTGTGTGTGCGTGCGCGTGTGTGTTTGTATATTATATATATATATATATATTTATATATATATATATATATATTATCAGGAGTAGATAATAGGGAATTATAATCATCATAGAGGTAATCCCTATTATCTACTCCTGATATTATACATACATTTATATATATATATATATCCTAACAGAGATTGTGAGCTGTTGATGCCTCCTCCCTCGCACAGGTTGGATCGGACTTGTGATGATCGTCGTGACAGCGTTGGTGAGCTGCTACACGGGCGTTGTTCTCGCTCGCTGCTGGTCCATCATGCAGGAACGCTGGCCCGAATACAGAGCTCACGTGCGCTACCCTTACCCCGCCATAGCCCAGCGAACGTTCGGCAAGCCTGGCAGGTGCGTGCGCGTGCGTGCGTGCGTGCGTGCGTGCGTGCACGAGGGTATGTCTGTGTGCGTGTATGAGCGTGGGTATATATATGTGTGTCTGTGTGTGTGTGTGTGCGTGCGTGCGTGCGTGCGCGCGCGCGTGTGTGTGTGTGTGTGAGTGTGTGTGTGTGTGTGTGTGTGTGTGTGTGTGTGTGTGTGTGTGTTTGTGAATGTGGGCGTAATGCGTGGGATGAATATTCTCTATAGTCTATATGACGTTGTTACCATCATTACAGATGTTATCATCAACATCCCATAATGATCAAGACCTACCGCAGTTGGGATATATGAACCCACATACTTGCGAGCAAATATAGCTAGTCACATTTCGCTTGCGTCTTGCACTACCCATATTGAAAAAAAACCACAGTCGCAGTGAAAAAGGTCATGTAGGTGATATGCGACATGGCAAGCACGATGCAGGAGTTCTCCAGAGGACCGCTTCACTCTTACGTTAACCTCGTTTGCTGACGCAGAAGCCTGCACTGCGGCCAGTACGAGTGTTGCTAACTGTGAATCAGAGTGGAAATAAAACAGGAGGACACATATACTGCACGTGCATGTATTAGATTTCTTTACAAAACCCAAGCGTTTACGAGCTACTGAATCGAGAATCTATCGTTCTGATTATGAATTATTAATTCTTACCAGCACTGCTGTGACAAACAGATGCCCATTTATCTTCAATCCTTGAGAATGCATATTTTTTGTGTGCATTCCGTCGTCACCTCGTTTATAGGTGAAGATCGATATATTTGTCTGTAAACCAAGATGTACGGAAACGTTTGGAGTCAGGTTTACAAGGTGGCAGGTCAAGTAAAATTAATAGAAACTATTTTAAACGAAGACACTGTATAAATAAAAGTGGTGCAAGACGTAGATCGGACTGGATATGAATTCAAGAAATATTCATCTCCTTATATATTTGCCATGGGACTAAAAGTTCCATATTTTGTAACAGCTTACCTCGTGAATCTACGAGTCCTCTCTTTCACATTCGTGCTCAACAAACACACGGCAATATATGCAGCAATGGTTTTTAGAGTGGTCAGTGCCAAGAGTAACAGATTATATAGTCGCTGGTATGGAGATGGGAATTGCCATTAGTCAGTTCAGGTTCAACGGATTTTGCTCGTTTTTGGTATGTGAATGAATAAGGGCTAGGGGTTTTGATATTTAAAAAAAATTATGCAAATTAGGTAGGGTTTGGCAATTATATAGCATATTATATAAACACAAACAGTCTGTGGTGTCACACTCGTCTGGTTCGTTTTACAAGATTTCATTGACAATATCTTTAATGCAAAATTGGTATTTCCTCTCCACTCTGCCGTTAAACTGTCTATATTAGAGTAAAGATTTACAAAACATGTCGGAACGCAGCATAACCTATTTATTTCAAGCGCCATCGCTACAAAGCGGGTATAACGCCATCTACGGTCACAAATTGTGATTCATTTTCGTTTATAAATTATTATTGCGATATACAGATGGCAATCGTTTCTATAATGTACGTCGATGGTTGCTCAATTAAAACTGACTTCTTCTTACTCACTCATTTGTGTCCTTTTTGTGGTGAGCTACAGTGTCATTGACACTTTCATTGTTACAAGAAAAGTCTTACTGGCAGGCAATTATAATTTTAGCATTGTGCTTCCTGCCTAACTGTAATCTGTTCCTATGCAATCTATTAAATCACCCTCATTAGGTAGAATTTCTCCTGTACCGAAAGCAGCAGACACCTACCAACCATCCTGTAATTAGAACTGCATTGCCCTACACCCCTGAGTGACATGCCTGCTAATGCTAGTTCATTCGAGTGAAGTAATTGTGCATGATATAATACCAAAACTGGCATGTTTATGTCCAGTTAAAGTTCCTTTTTTAATTTCCAGCCGGTTCTGATTCTGGCCCCAGAACTTCAACATTCCAGATGATATCTGGTGCATCCCGAGTATTAACAGACGCTTCATTCAACGTAGTCAGCGTCATCAAACAATACCTGTGCCATACAGTAATGTCTTCTTTAATTTGTTTTAGGTCAGTGTTGAACAGGACTACGAGAAACTCAATGCAGAGTTTGATGAGCTGGAGCTATTTGAACTCACTGTTGAGTAAGGAGCTAGCGGTATGAATGCCCACGTGAAAATATGAGACCATTGATCTGCTATTTCTACATTATATTATCTGAGGAGGGAGTGCAAGCTGTGAGTAGTTGTGTGTCCACGTACCTGCAATAAGTTTTTGTGTTACGTGGGATTGGAAGGTTTAGTTTTCTAATTTTCTCCAATTTTTATGCGTGTTCGTATTAGATTTTGATTTATTTTCAATTAACTTTCCGGTGCATGTCAGCACGTTAGCTTGTAAGCACGTAGTAATATCATTACAACACATCATGTTCTGAAATGATTTTTTTTAATAAAAAAGAGTATCAGATACAGGGAACGAGCAAAACTGAAATTCCACCAGAAATTGAACTTTGTTTTTCAAACAACTTAAAATAATAATTCATGGTAACCCTGTTTGCTAAAGTCTAGATACAAAGTCTATTACCATGAGATGTATTTCTGCATACATTCAGAGCCAATGTCAGAACCTGGCAGATGTCTTTCACTCCATTCACAGCAAATAAGTTGTAAACAATTCGTAATATTAACACCTTTAATAGTGTAGACTGCACCATATTGTATATTTAGAATGATTTGTTGTTAAAAACAAAACCATTTAAAACCATAGAGAAGCACTCAGGCAGCAGAGCACAGTTCTATTAAGCAAAACATTGTAAACATTAGGCAAGCTTGTGCAGGTATTTCTGATTGCTGCTGTTTATGTAACTCGGCCTACTGAGTACTTTACATATTATTTGTCATAGTGTTATGAATCGACAAGAAAAACAGTTCAGTGGTCGCACGTTATTTTACATGATTATACCTTCTGTTATAGAGATACTAAGGTTCTTTTCAGCAGCTTCATTTTTTTACAGTAATCTGTGTATCACATGTTGTAGAATATTATGAGCTGTATAGTGAGCATATCAGTTTGTGACACGATTTCTATTTTGATTCTATTTCTATTCTATTCTAATACCCCTTAATGTATATCTCTGGAGTATAAAATACCTGGAAGTAGGAGTAGGAACAATACTTTTTTTTATATTATTTAGTATTTTTAATGAAAATTTACTCTTAGTACATGTGTTAACACTTTTTAGGTCAAAGTAATTACTATAGATAAGGACAGCTTCTTACGTTACTTATGTGAAAGTAAACGTAAAACAATAAGAGCAAAACGTTTCCATTGAAATTCTAAATTGGATTTCTGGCTGCTCAAATCAGAAAAATAATAACTATTTTTTTTACAAGAGAAAAAAAATTGCAAGGTAAAGTTTAGGACTGGCATATTTTCTCAGGGTATTTAGGGAGATCCCAAACACAGTGTCTATATTGTTTGGCCTATACTGATGTATATAATAGTAGTTTATGAACAATTTCATGCATGTCTCAAATTAAATTGCCAATTCCATTTATTTTGCATATAGAAATGATTCTAGGATAACAGCAAACATGGATGATATCAAGAGCATATAAAGAAGGAGAGCGTACAACGGTAAAATGCTGAAACCATGTTGCAGTATTAGTCGAATTAATAAACTTTCCCCGTGTTATTTTGACGA